ATGAGAGCAGAAGTTGTCTTGGTCGGTCTGAAAACTGGCATCACTATACCCTCGCACCCTTAAGTCATCACTCCCACCGAGGATAAGAAACCATTCCTTTATCCTCTAAAGGTACTTAAGAGTATTCTTGACGGCAGTCCAATGTGCTCTACCAGGGTTCCCTTGATATCTGTTGACCGTGCTCAAAGTGAAGGCCACATCAGGGAAGTACAGGTCATAACATTCATGATCGAGCCTACTGCAGAAGCATAAGGTACTCGGCTCATTTCTGCTATTTCATCTTTAGTACTCGGGCTTTGAGTCTTACTCAACTTGTTATTGCTTTAGATGGGTAACTCCCTTTTCTTGGAATTCTCCATGCTAAAATGTTCTAACACATTATCCAAGTAAGTACTTTGACTAAGTCCTATTAGTATATTACTCCTATTTCTCACTATCCTTGTCCCTAGAATATAAGCAGCTTCTTCGAGGTCCTTAATTATGAAGCACTTCCCATGCTAGGACTTAACCTCATGTAGGTTTGGGACGTCCTTTCCTATGAGCAGTATGTCATCCACATATAAAACGAGAAAACTAACTATACTACCACTAGCTTTGACATATACACAGGACTCATCCTCGCTTTGCAAGAAACCAAACTCTTTGAATTTCTAATCGAAACAAAGATTCCATCTGCGAGACGCTTGTTTTAATCCATATATGGATTTCTCAAGCTTACACACTCTATTAGGGTGCTTCTCGTCGACAAAACCCTTTGGCTGACTCATGTAAACATCTTTAGCCAACTTCCGATTTAGGAAAGTGGTTTTGACATCCATCTATCATATTTCATAATCATAAATGCAGCTATGGCTAGCATAATCCTTATAGATTTAATATTCTCTACTGGTGAGAACGTCTCATCATAGTCAACTCCAGGAGTTTTGACTAAAGTCATTCGCATCCAATCGCGCCTTATATGTGTGTACTTTCCCATCCATTTCGGTCTTCTTCTTGAAGATCGATCTGTACCCGACCATCTTACGACCCGGTACATTATCAACCAAGTTCCACACTTGATTGTCATACATGGACTGAATCTTGCTGTCCATAGAATCTTTCCACTTCGCAGACTCTGGGCCTGCCATGGCTTCCTTGTAGTTGTTAGGTTCATGCAAATTTACTAGTGTACTATCACTAATAAACGTATCACCTTCACTTGTTATATGAATACCATACAACATAGGCAGAACACTAACTCTATAGGAACGTCTAAGAGGTAAGGATTCATCAATCGGTTCAACAGGAGTTTCCTCCTCATGTTGAGCACCAGCGTTAGAGGTTCCTTCATCGCTTGACTCTTAAATCTCTTCAAGATAAATTTGCCTCCCACACTCCTCTTGGCTTATGAGTTCTCACTCTCGGAAAACCCCTCTCCTCGCAACGAAGACAACATTGTCACTTGGTCTATAGAAAAGATATCCAAAGGAATTTTGTGGATAGCGGATGAAACGACACCGCTCACTAAGAGGTTCGAGCTTGTCATGAGTCTCTCGTCTTAAGAAATCCTCGCAACCCCAAACCTTGATATGTGCCAACGAGGGAGCTTTCCATGTCAATATCTTGTGAGGTGTTTTGGTAGCCATCTTAGTAGGGACTAGATTAAGGATATGGGCGGCAGTCTCTAAGTCATACCCCCAAAATGAGATAGGTAACGAAGCACGACTCATCATGGAATGAACCATGTCCAACAGAGTTCGATTACGCCTCTCAGCCACACCATTCAACTGTGGTTTCCTAGGTGGCGTCAATTGCGAAACAATTCCTCATTCCTTGAGGTAGTCATGGAATTCAAGACTAAGGTATTCACCACCTCGATCGTACCGGAGCATCTAAATTTTCCTACCCAGCTGATTCTCCACTTCTTGCTTAAACTCCTTGAACTTTTCAAAGGTTTTTGACTTATTCTTGATTAAGTAGATATACCCATATCTGTTATAATCATCGGTAAAAGTCACATAGAATCGGTTTGCATCCCTTGTGGTGGATCTAAAGGGCCCACACACATCGGTGTGTATGAGATCCAATAAACCCTCACCCCTTTCACAAGTACCAGTGAAGGGTGACTTGGTCATCTTTCCATGCAAACAAGACTCACACACGTCATTGTCCCTAAGGTCGAATGACTCCACCACTCCATCCTTTTGGAGTTGGGCTATGCTATTCTTGTTGACATGTCCAAGATGACAATACCATATACATGCTTTGTCCAAACTATTAGAAGAATCCATATGTAGCACATCATTTCCTAAGTTGTCTACAACCATCACAGTTTCATATATTCCATTACAAGGCAATGCTTCAAAATAGAAAGTACCATTAAAGAAAGAATAAATAGAACCTTTTTCATTATCAAATGAAAATATAAAGCCTTGTTTCTACAAACCATGAAAATAAATAATGTTTAATGTCATTTCTGACAAGTAACAGCAATTATTCAAATCTAAACCTAACCCACTACTAAGCACTAAAGAGTAAACTCCAATCTTGGTGACAAGCGATGCTTTCCTATTCCCCATGATGAAGTTTATCATCCCATGCTTCACATCCCTACCTCTTCTTAGACCCTGCAAATTAGAACAATGTGAAAACCGCATCCTTTATCGAGGACCCAAGACATAGCATGTGATGAGTAGTTAGAATGAATAGTATAAATACCTGCGAAGGACAACTTTATTTTCCCATCCTTGATATCTTGCATGTACTTCGGGAAGCTTCGTTTCCAATGCCCTTTGTCATGGTAATAGAAGCAATCAGCATCCTTTGGGTTGGAGGAGAGTGCAACGAGACCAACCTTGGTTCCACTAGAAGAGGTACCATCATCGGACTTTCCCTTGTGGCTCTTAGAAGGAGCCTTCCTCTTCTTACCCTTCCCTTGCCCAATAGCCAAGATAGGGGCGGTAGCAGCAGGAGTTGATGCAACAGATTTATCTTTCAAACTACTCTCAGCAGTCCTTAGCAGGCCTTGAAGCTTTGTTAGAGTGACCACCTCTTTGTTCATGTGGTAGGTCATACGAACCTTGTTGTAACAAGGAGGTAAAGAGTGTAGAATGATATTTATGACTAGCTCCTCATCGAAGTTAACATTTAACTTTAACAAGCGGTCCACATATCTCTTCATTTCTATAGGTGGGCCATGACAGAATCTCCATCCTTCATCTTGGTAGTGATCATCGCAGCGATAACCTCGTACCTTTCCTACCTCACGCTTTGATGGTACCTATCCATCAAATATTGATGCATCTCGTAGGGGTAGTAGTCCTCGTAGGAATTTTCAAGTCCAACAATCATTGTCGCGAGCATGATGCAATGAACTTTCATAGCACCTCGCTCCTAAGCATCAAACTTAGCAATCTCTTCAGAAGTAACAATGTTGGTGTCAACCTCCTTCCGCTCCTCTTCGAGAACACACTCATTATCCTCGTAGTGGGTGACCATGCGGATATTGTAGATCCAATCATTGAAGTTGGTCCCGTCAAAAATCACTCTCCCACACAAATTCATGAGTGAGATTGAGCCATCAAGGGCTGAGCCAGAAGCGTTGGATTTTGAAGTAGACATCTGAAAAGGAAAAGTGACAAAGTTTAGATTAAATAACAATCCTTATTAAAAACCCAAATGAGAAATTAAGGCTAGGACCCAACACAATTATTCACAATTTAGATTAAATAACAATCCCCTATTAAACAACTATAAGGCCTTTAAGGACCAATATGGCCCAAGAGTACCCAGCATGGCTAAAAGCCCTTAAATGTCTTACTATAATAGGTGGGCCTGAGGTCCAAACCTAAACAAGTCAAAATCCAAAGAATACTCGAGCCAATAAATCTTCTAGGTCCGCAAACTACATACACCTGACTTATATGGCTCGTATGCCCAACATATGCTTACTACAATCTAGAATCGGTGCGCTAGCCTAGTACGCGCAGCATACTCTAGAGTATGCCTGGCGTACTGGCCAGTCGGACCGACCTTGCACCCAAGTCTTAATCCATTAAGCTCTAACTTAAAAAACTTAGATTCAAGGTCATAATAGTGTCATAAATGATAAAATTGCAAACTTTATGCACTTGCATGCCTTAATGGGATTGAAACCATGAATTAATCCCTCTAACTCACTTAGGTAGTTACTAACACATGCATGATTGAGTCTCAACCTCCAAGATACATTTTTTATGAGTTAATGCACTCCCAAGAGTCAAAAGGACAGCTCAAATGGCCTAGAGTAGCCCATACTCTAAAAGACCAAGTTGTCGGACCAAAAGATGCTAAAATCTTCTCTAAGTCTAGATCTAAGTTTAGAATGAACAAGTTTCAGACTTTGTACCTTCAATATGCTAGAAATGATGCGCAAACTCTAGATCTACAAGCTCTTTATTCTCTTTTTCTTCTTCTCAAATTTCCTTCTTCTTCAAAACCACCAAATAACACCTAAAACACTCTATGTAAGCTCAAAAGTGCACTCAAGATGGATAGGGTATCGAGATTAGCACTAAAAGGCAATGGAGGCTGAAAGGGTTAAGCAATTGAAGAAGTTAAGGACCTTGAATAGGGTGAAAACCTTAAAGTTTTAGGTTTTCCCCTTGCTTGAGTACACCCATCTTACGCATGGGTACGTCCAACATACGTCGAGATCAACCCCGATGATGTGCATGTAAGGAGTAAGCCTTGTGTACCTAATGTACGCCTACCATACTCACGAACCCCTTCTCCACCTTTTATTCTAATTAAATAGGATAATAGGTTAAATTCATACCTAGCAACTCTGGCGCTACACAAATTTTTTGAAGTATTTTTCAGGGAAGTGCAGGATTAGGTCCCTATTTATTGTGGAATGATAGTCACCAAGTTGGCTCACTCTTTTCGGTATACTTGATAAGCCTGAGAAAACATTCCTCAAAAGGACGGATATCCACCCTTTGCAACAACGTTTGTTAAAAGCCGTTTGCATTATGAGGGATATGGGAAATGATACCTACTTTGTACATGTAGATGATGCAGTTGAAGTGCAAGCAGAGCTCCAGAATATGAGGCTGAGGGTAGACAATCAAGATCCTATAGATGCAACCGTAGGAGACGAATTACCCATACATCCTTACCATGTGATGGCTTGGAAATATGATTATGACATTGGTCGGGGTTTGAAGTTTGTGGTGTATTCTATGGAGGCAATGATGCATCACATGTTGATAGTACCCATGGTTGGAGCACTTGCTCACTACACTTACATTCCTACTGGGAAGGAGCAACAGGATAAGCATGGAGGTGGTATCAACATGAGTGGATCAAATCAAGAGGGCAATGTCGAGGACAATTCACTTATCCTTGATTTTTATGTTTGCTTTCTTTGTGTTTTATACTATGGTTATTTTTATTTGGTGTTTTGGGATTGAAGTGACGTAGGATAATTGTAATATTTATGCTTGGTTGTTTTTTCTCTTTATTACATGTTTTGTTTTTATTTTCCCACAAGTCATGGTATGCTAGCATTAAGTTCAAAGAGTTGATAGGAGAGAGCGATATTTTTCCCAAGAAACGTGACGAGAGCGTAAGTGAGGGGTACGACTTACGAATCAAGAAGAGTTTTTGAGTGAATTTTCGAGTTCTATAGCCATGATATCTAATGAATTTGATCTAACATCATAATAGAGGGGTATGCCACCCCGAAATTACCTTTTCTTGATTCGAAATCGCGCAGACAGAACACATGTTTTTCTAAAGATACAACAACCACGACATGGAAAAACAACACCATGGCATGGGCATGAAGAAAAAAGCATGATCCAATTCTAACTTATTCGAAGACCACGACTTGGCAGCGCGAAGTCACGACATGGGGATTCTCATATCCAAATTTCAATTGCTCGTTTCACCACTATTTGGAGTCTGTTTTCTTGGTGCATTATAATATCATTCTTGTAGCAGTCCAAACGTACTGTTTTCTAGCTATTATAGAAGATGTCAACCACACAACATTTAATTTCAACCTTGCCACTTCTATCCCAGGGGAGTTTGTTCTTTTTCCTCCCTCTTTACTTTTATGTTCTTTAATTGTGTTACGCATGTAATGGGGACATTACATGAATTATGTGTGGGGTAAGGGCTCGATAATAGGAATTCAAGCATGATGATTTAAAAACTAAAAAAAGTGCTAGATTGAAAATTCTGAAAAAACATCTTATATAGACTTTTAAAAGGGTAGAATTTTGAAATCTAGTTAAATTTTAAAATAAATAGTTATATTATTGTGTTGGGACTTAGATTTCTAGTTTTGTGTGCGACGATCTGATGTGAGCTTCGATGTTTAATTGAGCTAATATATGTTCCAGTGTAATTGTGGCTTCCCTATCCTAGTGAAATCATTGGACAAAAACATAACCTTGTATAGTTTGAGGGACATAATAATTTTACCATATATACCATAAATGTATCCAGTAAAGCTTATGTGCTGATTGCACCTTAGACTAATGCCTTTAACCAATAAGGGTTGAAGTTAAGCTCCCTCGCATAAGCATATATTTTTCTTTTTAGGTTTTTAGTTTTGAGTGAAAAAAAGAGAAATGTTAAGTGAATAAAAGCTTACAAAGATTGCATATCAAAGATATTGAAGAATGAAGTGAATTTGCCAAAAGTCAAATGAGTAGTTTATTTTATTGTATTTTTCTTTTCTAGATTATTTTTCTATATGTATGCTTCGGGGCTTAATCAAAAATTACATTTAGGTTAAGAAAGATTTCTAAGGATATATTTGGAGGGATGCATAAAATGAATGTTATTTAAAATAAGTGGAAAGTGTTATGAGGATTGTGAGTATTTAGGATTGGGAAGTACTTAGGAATAATAGACTGAAATACATGCATTGCGGTCTCGATTTAATAAGTGAGCTAAAATGGATTCTCTCGAGCGATGTTGGTAGTTGGGGTTTTGATGTGATAATATGATGATAATAAAAATCAGTTTTGGTTAGGGCAAGTAAAAGTCAAGTGTGGGGTATTTTGATATTTTCTTATTTATTCATATATTTTGTGCATTATGTTTATATTTTTAGCTTCAATTGTACTTATGTTAGGATGAAATGTGTTTTATATGTTTAAAATCTATCGTGTAGCGGCACAGACATGCTCAGGATTAAAAGGAAGAAAAATGTGCATTTGGAAGCAGGAAAAATTGGACCAAGTCAACCGAAGTCAAATTTCCATGGATTTTCAAGCCCATGGCATGGAGATCTGTAGCCACGCCATGGTGAGGAGAAGATTTGCGATCAAAGCCAACCACCTTCGAGAATACGCATGTTTAATGGTTTCCATGTCGTGGATCTAATTAGCCACAACGTGGGAGGAAATTTTTTGGAAATATATATATATATATATATATATATATATATATATATATATATATATATATATATATATACATATATATATATATATATATGTTGATTCTGCCTTCAACCCTACCTTATGCTTCAAGTTATTCTCGACTTTTGAAGACCAGAGACGTGTTAGGAGGCTAAAAGAGATATGATTTCATTTGAAGCTTAGTTTTGAAGTGATCTTAAGGCAACATAACTTCTAAACCCTTGTTTACTTTGTTTTTCATCCTGCTTTACAAAATGAACTTCATTCTTGATTGTTTGTTTCTAGTAGTTATGGGCTAAAAACCCTAACTTCTGTTTAGAGTAGAGGATCTTTATGACTATGTGATGGCTTATTGGAGTATGGATGGTTTCTAGTTGCTTATTTTTTATGATAGCTTGATAAAGACCCTTTTGTGTTAATGATAACTACGTTTTCTGTTTATTGCTGAGTTTTACTAAGATTAGATGATCATATGTTTTTTTATGCTTGTATCTTATGAATTTGTGATCATTAAAGTTATAAGACTAGTGTTTTGATAAAAAAGCTAGGGTTAAATAGAAAATTGGGTAAATAAATGTGAAAGCAAATATATGATGAGCATTCATGTATTAAATGATATTATTTACCATGATTTTTATTCACTAGTTCAAGTCTACCATAATTCAAATTTAACAATAGTATTCTTGTTTGTTTATCCACTTAATCAACGAATGAATGAACTTGTTTTTCTAAAGGATTAGTATTTTGATCATAAATTCTAATTAACTTAGGAATCGGTAAGAAAAAACAACATAATCTATTGCACGTTCCAAGAAATCGACTATAGGAGTAAATTGAATCGTATCTAAATAGAAGTCTCTTTAATATCTTGTGTTAAAAACTTAAGTTGATTACATTTTGTAGTTAATCTATTTTGTGATAATTTCTTTTTAAGTGGTCTGGACTTGAAAAACTAGAGAAAAACCCCTAATCACCTGCCTTAAAATTACTTAACTTTAAGTAGAATTTTTAGTCGGTAAGCATTCCCGTTCCTCCTGTGTTTGACACCCTACTTTCTTACTTTACTATTGTTCGATTAGGTACACTGCATATCGCATTTAGGTAGCTTAGATTGTTTATTTTATAAATTAAAAACTAGTATATAAATTATGTATCATCTTTATTTTATCCTTTTGATGCTTTAAACACTAAAAATGCATAAGTGGAGTTACACAGGCCGTATAATTTGTTCGGAAAATATAACACTTTTAATCTGCACGAAAGAACAAATAGTTAATTATTGTTGAGGTCTATGTTTAAGAGAATTCCCTTACAACAAATTCACCTTATATTGGTGTTTGTTTCTAGATAGATGAAGAAGAAAAAACATAAGAGAGAATGAGAAAACTAATTCATTTGGTGTAATCTAATCAGCCAAGGAGATGCAATATTTATACTATTAAAATGTAACCGATGTTATTAAACATCCTAGTTTGTAACTATTAACTAAAAGAAATAAATCGAAAAAATGTCCTTGAACTTTTCTTGTCGACTAGTGGTACATTCATGCCCATACGACGCACGTTCGCATACAAGTTCAGTAACCCTAAGCCAAACTAGCTGCATTTGAACCCCATGTATAGGCATACAAGTGAGAGCCTTTGTAACACCTATTTCTTAGAATGGTTTAACTAAAGACTTAATGTGATTAAACTTGAGTTTTTATGAAAAACTCTTTGACACAATGTAACGCAAGGATGCCCACGATGTGGCATGGCTTAAATGATTGGGTCTTCCACATCAGTCCCATGACGTGGCAAGAGAAGGGCCACGAAGTGGTAACTGTTTTTGGCCTAAGCCCATAATTTTTTGGTTTCCTCCATATTTTAGCCTCTAACCTCATATTTAAGGCATCATGTCCAACCTCCATCACCCTCAGTAACCTTGAAGCAAACCCTGATACCCTCTCCCTAATATTTGATCTTACTTTTGGTTATTTGGTGCATTTAGAAGGAAGAATAAGATTTTTTTGGTTTGGAGAACCTATTGGTAAGCTTAGAATTTCATTTCAGCAATTTTTGGACCTTTGTGAATTTTGTTTTCTAAGGTTGTTAGTTAGACTCTTCTATATCTAGGTTTATATGCTTCTTCTTCTTGTTATTGATGTTTAAGTGGTTAGATTCATTAGATTTGGCAACTTTATTGGTCACTAAGGTCCCTAGATGATTAGATGTTCCAGATCTAAAGAGTTGTATAGTTTTGAGTTTCATTCATGGGGATTTTGACACCATTTTTTTTACCAATATGAGAGAGAGAGAGAGATATTCATTGAACATGCATGTCCATAAAGTTTGGATTTTATGAGCCTTTAGAGTCCGTAAAAGCTTTCTAGAAGGTTGGAGTTGAAGAATTGATGGTTAAGGAATCAATCTATTAAGTTGTTCACAGCCAATGGTCACTATGTGGTATAAAGGGTGCCATGACATGGAAATGATGGAATCGTCTACTATTTTGTTTGGAGTTAGCCACAACATTGATACATGTATGCCACGACATGGGGATCAAGTTATCTGTGATTGAATCGTTAGATCGGGACTGAGTTGTTAGCCATGATGTGGCTATGCGTTGGCCACGACGTGGAGGTCAGCTAATGAGGATTTTTTACTTTGACTTTGACCATTGACTTATGAATTGGTTTACTTTTGGTCAATTGGCTACTTTTAGAGGGCAACCTAAGAGTTTACCTTGTGTGGTTTATTAGGAGATGCATAGCACCTGTTCATTGGATGTGAGGGATGTTAGTTGTTTTCTACACTTGTGAGGTGAGTCCTCTTACTATACTATGTAGGATGCTAGTTTCCTTTGTGATGCTTGCATGGAAGACCATGGTGTGGCCCTTGGCATGTGTATGAAAGACTAGGGTCTGTCCCGTGGCAACTGTATGAAAGACCAGGATCTGTACCCTGTCAATTGCATGTACGAGCAGGATCTGGCTCCCGACATTTGTATGTAGGATGCTACATGTCTTCGTGATACTTGCATGGAAAACCAAGATA